ACTTTGAACGCCTTCAAGAGAAAATTGGATGTTTATCTTGCTGGGATCCTATGACCCATGCTGACTTCCTGCCCTGCGGCATGGGGCTGGACTTGATAATCTTCCGAGGTCCCTTCCAGCCCTAATGTCTATAAAATTTATGAAATCTATGTCTATAAATTTAGCTCTGACTAAATATGTGGATTTTTTTTCCTCTGATATTTGTCCAGAGCACTAAAATTCATTGACTGACAGCCTTCTTAAGCCAGTCTCATTCACTGGGAAATTCCTGAAGGGAGAAAACAGAGGTGCCTAAAACCAAGTCAGACTTACCCAAGTGTGGAAGAACTGCAATGTTCCATCCCAAACCAGATAAGGGGTCACAGGTGAATCTACCTAGCTCCATAGCTGTGACATGGCCAAAGGCTCATTAAGAGAGCTTAAATAAGTCTGGTGATCTTGTTATTTACATTAATGTTTGCTAAGGATAGATTGTTAACTTAGTATTGAATTAATTATTAAGAAGGACCATATGATTTTGTGTATCAGAGAAAACCTTTAGTGCAAAGTCTCTAAATGCATCTAGGATATGTTAAAAAAAACACCTAAATGCATTTGTGTACTCTTCAGTATCTCAGATTTTAGCTTCTTTAGTGCCACCTAACAAGAAAACTTTGAAAACTACTTAGAAGTAATTTATTGCATATTTCATGCTTATATTCTCTAGCACCATTTTTCCACCATTGCAATTATTGGAATTTTTTTTTACATGAAAACAGGGTATTTGTCTCTCTTAAAAGGTCCTGCTGCTTAATTCGTATTCAGAGTCATAATCCTCTTTAGCACATCATGCCAATCTCTTAGTAGTTGATTGTGATGTCACAGAAAGAGGATTTTGACTTGAGGAAACAAATTGATTATATGGCAAATTTTACTTACATGAAATTAGTCTTCCTGAAAGGTTCTGAACTGAGAATACTGGAAACTGATATTTTCTATGCACAGAATAGGGACAACACCAGCTGTGATGCTTAAAGTTTCTATACAAGTACATCTTAATACTATTTTAATGGATATTTTTTGGAATGAGAAGATGGTAGAATGTGTTTACCAAGACATTCTTTGGCTTCTTTTCTCAGGATACCATTTTTCAAACAGGTTTCTCTAATATGGATATGTGTTCATTAAACTGACCAAAGACATTTCTCAGAGTCAAAGATCTCATAAAGAAAAGATTTTCAATGACTTTTGACTTCAAGCCTATTCTTAAAGGTGGAAGCCCAATATATAATTACCAGACTACTTTGACCCACCTACTCCTACTGAATTGGTTTTACATGGATCGTCTTCTCAGAAATGTAAATAAGTCTTTAAAGCATTGTCAGAATTTCAACAAGGTGGCATTGAATCATTTAAAAGAAACTGCCTCATCCATGCAGGGAAAAATGTGTGTGTTCCAGTTGCACAGTTTATTACTGTAACAATGCTATACATAAATCATTACAAAATTGTAATTATTTTATATGAAAATGTTGATCATATAAAAATGATTAAAAGAGGGATGGATCCTTTGATTAGTGGACTGAAAGGATATTTCATTATATTGTGACTTGCTGCTAAACTGATGAAACTGTCACAGGTATTTTGTTAGTTATCATACTATTTTGGTATCACCAGGTCAGAGGACGTCAGACTGGGGAAATGGTATCCTTAACATTTAAAGCCCCTTCTTGTATCTTAATCAATTTTTTGTCTCCCTCTCCCCCTCCTTTTTTTTTGTTTTTTCAGTTTCTATAAAAAGCTTGATACAGCAAGTTCTTTCTAAAAGGCAAAATATTAAACAATTTAAGTTTTCTGCAACACTGAAAGTCAAATTCTGCAAATGCTGTACTTCTACACACACGTTGATCTGACACAAGAGAATAATGCACCAAGTCTTTGGGGTTGAATCAAAAAACTATTGTGAGAGAGTGGAATAGCTTCTGTTCTTGGCAGCAACATTATATGTGGTTAGGCCAAGGCCTTTTGACACTGGTCAAAGCTCTGTTTTGTGCATTGGCTGAGGCATCTGCTAACATTCCTTATATTAATTTTCTTAATTCCCCCCCTCCACACACACACACACAATGGCAATATGTCATTTCTAATGGGCAATTCTAATAGGAATATCACCCACAAGAAGATAGTTCTGTGGAAGAGCTGGGTAAAACCATGAGTAGGAATCTAAACAGAAAAAGAAAAGGGACCTATGTTAAAAGTGAACCCTACCTTTTTCAAAATATAAAAAAGATTGTAGGTTGATGTCGTGTTGGTCCAAGGACATAGGCACACAAAGTTCTTTGGGTAGATGTGGTATCTTTTATTAGACAAAGTAAGCAGTTGGAAAAATTATTCTTTTGAAGTTTTCAGCTACAAACACCCTTCGTCAGGCATGCAAAGAACAATTTCTCCAAATATTTAGTTGGTCTAATAAAAGATATCACCATCTACCCAAAAAACCTTGTCAGCCTACTTAAACTGGCATAATCTTCAGCTCTTGCCTCCTTCTAAATGCCTTGTGGGGCTCTAGCTCTGTCTCTCCAGGAGCCCTGTCTCAAATTTCTAAGGCTGAGATGCCAGCCCTACTGTATACACAGCCAGAGAATTAGGCAAAAGAGCTTGGAGAGACGCGGGCAAGCAGGCAATGACTATAGGTCTCTGCCTTTTGGCTAAGATAGAGTTCTCTCTCCTCTTCACTCCATAACCCAGCTCTTGGGAAGCAACCTTATATATATATATATATGTATGTACCTTGTTCAAGGCCAAATCAGTTCCAACTTCATGGGGCAAAGCCCAATAGTTAAGCTTCAATATTTGACTGAGCATAGTTCAATTGTCAAGTGTGTGCGCTCTACCACTGGGCAAGTATTGGTCTCGAGGAAAAGGTATTCAGGACTCATTGTAGAGATTACATCTTTTATTGGACCAACAAGATTTTTGCAAAACAAAATGCTTGAATTGCAAGCTTTCAGGCACAAACACCCTTCATCAGGCATTGGAGAGCAGACTGTAAAAGTACCACTGGGCAGGTATCCTCCCTCCCAGACCCATCCCCCTGGGGCTTCAGATACTCCCCAAATCCAGACAGGCATCCTACATGCAAGAAGCCCCAGACCTGAGGATGCCCCCAGTCTCTTGCTTGATCTTAGCCAAAAGGCCGAGACCTATAGTCCTTGCCTGCCTCTCTCCAAGCTCTTTTGCCTAATTCTCTGGCTGTGGATAAGGTACGGCTGGCATCTCAGCCTCAGACATTTGGGACAGAGCTGACATTGCCTGCTGGCAGCTGGGCCCAGAGGAGCCCGGGGGGTGCC